TGAATCAAACTATTGTACAAAAACAGAAAGGGCTTTCTTTTTTATGTTATTTTTTTGTAGGAATTGGAAATAAACATATTAGCTCATTAAGAAAAGATATTAGCTATAATGTTTCTAGATCATTTAGGTATATTTGATCGAGTTATTTATTCCTTATATAATATGTAATTAAGTTCTACATCAAGAAAAAATCAGCGTGAAAAAATGCTATATCATCAATTTATAGGGATAATATTACAAAAGAGCTTTTAAAATATCAGAATAATGCAATAGTTGCAAATATTGATAATTATCATAACATTCATGGCTTAAGATTGCCAATAACTACCTCTACTAGTTCTGTTGCCCATATGACTACCATTTTTGCTATTCCTATACCTACAGCAAATGCAATTCCAAAGAATATTATATATAATATGGATTTAAATCAATATAGCATACATAATCCATTACTTATTCTTTAATTTTCAAATAGAAAATCATCATATGGCTTTGCTTTCTCAATCATTTAATGATTGATTTATAGAACAATTTCTTTATTCTGAAGAAGATTTACTTAATAATTTAACTATTCATAGATATTCATAAAAAATGGAAAGATCAACAACTTAGTAATACAATACTAATAAATTTTATTAAGCTTGATTTACATTCAATAGAAGCATATATTAAGGCAATGGAAAAATTTGCATTTTTTCCAGAATTTCAGCAGTATCTTCAACATAATGTTATTCCTTTAATAGCTGATTGACTAGGTCAAATATATCTTAGAAAAGCAATAACTATGTAACAACTGCAAGCAAAAAAGAATAATTAAACAGAAATTCCAGAATGTGTTAATTCTTTTATTCTAATTATGGGACCTTTACATATATCTCTCAATAGTCGTAAAACTGTTGTTTTATTATTTTATAATTTTTTTAATTCTGCATATAAACATATTTTTGGAACAAAAAAAAATTTGCTAACAAATCTTATTCTTAAAGAATTAATCTTTTATTACAATTAATTTCAGATGCTTGAAAAAATATTGCTTCATATGTTAAGGAAAAAATTGAATTATTTTGTTCTAAAGATGTTGAATATCTTATAATTAAAACTCTTTTAGATAATACTATTCCTTTAGTTTTAAATATTTATGCAATAATTTTTAGATCAGACAATTAGGAAACATATATTGAGGCTTGTGTAAGAGTATAGTGTTTATTTGCACGTTTTAAATGAAAATATTATAACAAAGTACTATTAATTTTTCTTTCAGATATTTGGTATTAGAAAAGTATTAATCATTCTATTCTTGATGTTTTAAAAAATCATCTTGCAGTATTTAATGATTATCCTGTAAAAAATTATCATTCATTAATTTGAAGACAAACAAGAAAGACAGATACACATGAACAACTTTTAAGAACAGCTCATATTATGATTATTTTCATCATGATAATGTATTTCAAAATATATTTATTGCAGCAAAAAAGTATTCTTATTGTAAAAAAGATTTAATAGGTTTAACTAAAAAAGCATATATATATTTTTTAGAATTATTTACAAAAGTTAAAAATAATGTTGGAAAAAGCAAATGGATAAAAATTAATCAACATGATAAAAATAAACTTTTATGTCATCTTGCAATTCTTGATATGGATATAGATGAATGACATTTATCAATGGCTTTCAGTTCAGAATATCCTCTATTTGATCTATTAATAAGATGTTATCTTCAAAATTCTTGTCAGATATTACAATCAATATTTTCTTTTCATATATCAATTTCTTTTTCATGTGATCATATTTATCATCAATATTATCAATATTGTTTATAATATCTTGAGTATAAATGTTTATATTGTTTAAAATATATTAAAAATGAAATTAATAATAATGTGAAATCTATTATTAATAGAATTATAGAAGAAAATTTTAAAATTGAAATTAATCAAGAAGATAAAAAACAATTAGATATTAATGAACCTGAAGAATTATCAAAGCAAATATTATTTGATTCTAAAATTGCAAATCAATTTGAAATAGTACTTAAAAATTTTATGAAAAATTAATTATATTTTATTAATTTATAAATAATAAATACCGTATTCATTTAAAATAAGCAACCCCTGAAAATAAGCAACCCTTAATATAAGTTAGTACCCGAATTTAAGCAACACTTTTATAGAACTAAATGCAATATAATAAAAAATATTTTAAATAATAAATTAATGCTCAAATAAACAAAAAAAAATATTTTATTAATGAATTATATCAAATTATTGCTTGTATTACTATTGAATATTAATTATTATTACTAGTATTATCATCACTAGCATCATCATTACTAGCATCATCATCATTTTTTTTATCACTATTAGCATTATTTTCATCATCACTATTATCACTAATTTCTAATTTAGAATCTGATTCATTTAAAGCAGTTGAAATTTTACAAGTCTTGAAAGATTCTATGATTATTTTATCATCAATTGCTTCCTAAGAATGCTTTACCCACAAACATACACACTAAGTCGAGCATGACAAAGATTTACTGCAGCAGTTTCTCCAGTACCACTACTTGTCATCCAAGCATGTTATTCTTTATGAAGGTTATCTTTAAATGGTTTGTTTATTGAAACATTTAAAGGTTGGCAAATAATAGTTAGATCACTAGGGATTTCTGCCAAATCAAAATTATTTTCATGAAACTTTTTTTAATAGATTTTTCCAAATGACCTTTAAATGAATCATATACTAACATTGCTGGATTTTTTTGAGTAACATTTTTTGACCTTACATCATTAAAGTAGTCAATGTATTTTAATATTAAATTTGAATCTATCTAACCATTCTTTTGAAACCAAACTACAACATCAGGAGGAACTTGTTCTTCACATAATATTCATTTTTCTTTAAAGATACAAATTGGGGTAGTTTAGTCTCATCTATAATATTGTAATTTAATAAATTTAATTTAAAGCAAATACATTGAATTATAATAAAAAAATTATTTTAAAATAAAAAATACTTGCAGCATATGTTAAGACAACAGTAAATCGATTTTTTTATTACTTGTTAAACAAATATGAACTGTTTTATTACCTTTTGGATTTATAGTAAAATTACCAGCTATATCAAATCAAACAGGAGTTTCGTTCATATTAAAAATATTTTCTAATTCATAAGATTTTTTAATTTTAAGATTAATTACAAACTGATGGAATTTCTCCAATAATTCTTGAGTTTCATTTGGAAGTTTTTGGGATATTCTAGTATGTCGTCTTAATGCTAACCTGTATCTTTTCAAAAATATCCTTAACCAACGATGAGAAGTTTTAAAATTTTCTGTGAATTCTTCATAAAGTTCTAGCATTTTCACTTCCCTTAAAATTTCTAACATTTTACTTCATAAAATTGTATATGATACAACTAAATCTTACTTTTTTTGTTCAATAATCCAATTATATAATCTTTTTTCAGCTTCAGGAAAAAATGCTTTTCATTCAGAGCTAATTCGCTTACTTTTTTCATTAATTCTAACATTTCATATTGAACTTGCTGTTACCCAACATCCTACCATATTACGATTAATATCAAAGTGTTCTGCTGCTTTATTATTTCTATGTTCTTTTGCATATTTAACAACTACTAACTTTTGTTTTATAGAATATGAGATTCTTTTACGCTTAATAACTTGTTTACTTTATGATAAGCAGCTTTTTTTAGTAGCTCTTGGCATTTTTATTTGTTACACTTGGTGGAGTAGTTTAGCATAGTAAAACAGGATTGTAAACTAGTTCACGACACATTAATCACAACGTTAATCATGAGAGTTGCATTAATTAAACTTTTAGCTGTGTATTTTTAGATAATCAGCAATCATGAAAGTCAAATTACTATACATTTTATTACATAAAAATCCAATTTTTTAGCTATGTATTTTAAAAAAAAATGAACTACCCAAAAATAAGTAACATTATAACAAATTATGTTATTTATTTTCAGATAAATATAATATATATAATTAGTAATTATTATCAATATTTAATAATAGTACTTGAAAAATTAATTGTATTTTATTATTTATTATTGATATATTTAATAATAACTAAAAAAATCTGTTTAAAAAAATCTTATTTAATTTAATAATAAAATTTGAATCAATCAAAATTAGGCTGTTCCCAAGCACCTCTCTTAATGATTTATTGGATAATCTGATTGGCTAAAAAAATCCAAAAAAATCCAAAGCGATGATCATTTAAGTCAAAAAAACCTGGAGCTACAAACCATCTTTTTTTTTCACAGAGCTACCCTGATTGGTTAAAATTAATCATTAATTGAGTAACCAAAAATCTTGCACAAACGTACTTCCTTCTTTTAATTTTAACATTATAGATTTTCAGCAACAACGTCGCCAGCAAATTACGCTATTATTCCTCATATTACAAATCCTTATAGCAAATAAAAGGTTTCAGAATATTCAAATGCAAAGAATATTTAACATTTATCATCTTCTAAATTTTAATTACACTGTAGTGAATTCAACTATTCTTTTCCCTTCACAAAATGCAAGAATACAAAGTTGGCCAAGACCCAAAACTGAAGGGTTTTGGACAGATGTTTTTCCATATTTAATAGATGGAAACAGCTATAACTCTTTTCGAAGACACTTTCGCATTACACTTACCACTTTTCGTGCTCTTGTAATTTGATTAGAAAACCATCCAGCTTTTATTTCAGATGCTTCTAATGCAATACCTGTATGGAAACAAATAGTCATTGTATTATGGCGATTAGCAAATGGAGGAGGAATGCGAGTATTGGAGCAAACACTTGGAGTGAGTCAAGGATCTATAGGCAATTTTACTGATCGATTCTTAAATGCATTATTAGACTTAGAATAAAGACGAATTACATGGCCACAAGGTCAACAATTAATAAAAGTAACATAAGGTTTTGAGCGTGGAGAAACTGGGCTTGGAAATCGTAAACTACCTAATGTTATTGGTGTGATGGATGGGTCACATATACCTATTCATGCACCTTTTAAGAATGATGCACGATATGTAAATCGTAAAAGTTTTCATTCCATTAATCTTCTTGGAATTGTTGATCATCAGGAGCGTTTTATTTATATACATGCCTGAGAAGCAGGTTAGTTAACAATTTTTTTATAAATAATAAAATAATTTAATAAATAATTTTATTATAGGAAGTGTACATGATGCTCGAGTATTCTCTCGCTCATCTCTTTATCATGAAATTTCTCTACATCCTGAACAATGGGTTCCAGGTGGAACTTATATTATTGCTGATGCAGCATATCCTCTTAAAACATACTTAATAAAAGCATTTCCTGAATATTACATGCTAACCCATAGAGAAAGACAT